ACAAACCCAACAAATATGACATGAATATGAACACTAAAACGGGTGTGGGAAATGGGCATGAACCAGTCACGATGATGAACTAAATCTATTCAGTATTGTCATTTAAAATCTACTAAGGACAAGGCGTGTTGGAACAACACGTAATGTGAAAAGAGTTGACAGAAAGCTTTTCCCAAACTGGGGTGAACAAATTTTAATCAAGTTTTAAAAAAACAAAACCACACAGGAAACTCATACTTCAAAGGTATCTAAATACGACTGCATAAATTATTCGCATCCTCCAAACACAAGACTAAACACGAATTCCATTTCGACAAACATGGACGGAGCAATATCAAGCCGAATAACAAATATACAAACAACATCAAAAGGGACAGAACTTAGCCAAGAAAATCTGAGAAGAACAATAATCAGAGAAAAATAAGCTTAAACAGGCAGTAATAGTTTTGAAAACGAACACACATCACCAATCTCGGCTTTAAATATCTCATGTAAGGACGAATCGATTCCCACACAGAATATAACTCGGGTCTAAACTTCTAGTGAGAGTAAACGAATACAAGAGTTGAGAATCATATACCTTTTGATGAGCAGCGAATGGGGTGAGACGAGCAAGAATGAGCGGCAACTTCACACCACAGGAAAATCCGAGGGGACTTCAAAATAAAACGGCAAATCAGAATGTCTGAACCAACTTCGAACAAGGAACCTTTCAAAAACTTGAGACTAGAAAATTGTATTCGGATTTCTTGAATGTAAACATTAGTTTTTCTTTTTCTTTCTCCTTACTTTCTTCAATAATCTTGTCTTTTTTTCAGTGAACAAAAAACCATATATATAGCAGGGAAATAGGGTTTCGAATCGGGGGGAAAAAGATCAAAAATCAGATTCAAAAGGCCAATATTCGAAATTTAAAACTCCAAAACTTTTCACCCTTCCGGCTAAACACCCTTTTCTTGAGATTTTGACTCATTCCGAAATGGGAAAAGGGGATGGATGGGTGGGATCGAATCACCCATCCTTGAGTGCCGACGTGGAGTAATCTCGCGAGGCAAGGACAAAAGTGAAAGCTGTGAGGGCGAAGTCACAAGTGTTTTTCTGCTGCGACTGAGATGGACGTTGGAGGAAGACGACAACCAAATCTCTAAGCGCATCCAAAGCGTGAGTTCGACATGTATCTCTATCAACTCGTTGCTGCTGGATGGTTGTTTCAGGCTTTGTTGGTGTCATTTCGAGCTGTTGTTCACGCCGTGAACTTGCTATGCTTTGTTGACGTTGTCCCTCTATTTTCACGTCATTTCTGGATCTCTTTTGGAATTGAGAAGGTGGGTCGTGTTGCTGTTGCTGAAATGTTGTTATTATTTTTGTTGGGTTTGGGGAATTAAAAGGGTGGGCTGCTGGGGTTGATGGGCTACGGCAATTTGCAAATAGAAAGCCTTAAAATGGGTCTTGCAAAAAAAAAAAGGCTATTGGATAGCAAATCTAACCCATTAAGTTATACAACTCAACCAAATTGAGGTAATCAATTAATTCGGCTAGAGCTTAAACGAAATGAATAAATATAGCTAATCAACGAGCTTCTTAATTTTAACGAAATAAGATAATTAGCCTAATGAACTAATGACTCAAAATATAAACTAATAATTTCGACAAAATTAATTTAATAAAGTATTTAAGTAAAACTAAAATCTTTTTGAGACCGTTTTTGAATATTTATAAAAAATGTACCAATTATATGTTCAACATATATATTATTTAAAAATTATAAATAAGTGATAAATTATTTAAAATGACTTGAAAATATTTTTATTTTATTTTTTATTTATTTATTAATTTTATTATTATTTTTTTAATTTTCTAAACTAATTATTTGAAATCATTTGAAATTAAAGAAACTCGATGATTAATCTATATTGTGAAGGTCCAAAATTGGGTGTCAACAACTGTCCCTCGTTTGACTTGGATTGATGCAAGAAATTCGAGGAAAATGAAATTGACTAATCAAATTTTGGCCAACCACATCTTCATCTTTCTGAGAAAGGGATTTGGTATGGCCTTCAGGAATTATGGCCGAACCCCGAAAAATGGATTTCCTACATATATCAGGCTATACGAGAATTCAGGCCACTTGTAGTTCGACACGCTTGATTTTACGCACGATTTTGAAAGAATTGAAAAGTCATCTTGATACCGAATTATGGAGGGACCGGAATGTTCGAGAATAAGATTTAAGAGCAAATGATGGAATACAACCAAATTTTCAACATGGAACCCACCTACATACCCCTCAACTTAGGGGATCATGCTATTGTAGTTCGACTCGATCGGTTGAAAAGGAAATCTTTTATGATAAGATATCCTTCGGTTCTGGAGGAGTGACAAGTAAGTCGAGTATGAAAAAGAGGCTTGCAGCCTCTTAGCCATGTATGTGGCGCGCTTCACACCCATAATTAAGAACTTACACAGACATAATTTCCAAGTCTCTTGGTGCATTGTCACTCAGATTTAAAAGCTGCTTCCGGTAGAGACAATAAATTTCTGGTTGCGAAACTGAAATCGACAAACCCAAAGATAAACCCACATGCCTTCTGATAGGGGTGTGGTTTGATTATGGTGGAATTCGCTCCTCTGCTTGTGTCCCAAGAGTTTGGCACTCCTCTTTGGACTATGTCCTAGTTCACTGCTAAGAAAAAGTTTCACGTTGTGCTGCATCCTTTTTGATGTCGTCCGCACCTATGGTTTGTTTTGAGAATTCATCCTCTCGGATGCTCTCGACAAAGAATGAGATAAAACTCATTAGCATAAAAATGTAATTCAAATGGAGAGATAGTGTCTTTTATCGTGTTGACATATAATTGCTCTCTTTGAACATTTGATGTCAACTCCATCGGGTTTGACGTAAAGCAAATAAAGCTTGTGTCTCATATTTATGATATAATCTTCAATGTACTCTTCTTTGACGTTAAATAATAAAATAGGCTGATGTAATATGTTGTTAGTTCTCTTGATATCGTTGTTGCAAAGAAAAATGATGCGGTCGATGTTGATCTTCTTGTGATGGGTAAATTTTTATCTTGCGATGCATAACTCCTTTCTCTTACGATGCATGACTCCTTTCTGCGATGCATGACTTCTTTTCCGTGATGCATGAATCCTTCTATTGCTATGCATGGATCTCTTTCCCGTGATGCATGACTTTTCTCTTGCTATGTATGGTTTCTTCTTCTTGCTAGGTATAAATCTCTTTCCCGCGATGCATGACTTCTTTTTCGCGATGCATGACTTTATTCTCTTGCTATGTATGAATCTCTTTCCCGCGATTCATGACTTTTTCTCGTGATTCATGACCCTTTTCCCGGGATGCATAAATCTTTTCCCCGTAATGCATGAATCTTTTCTCGTGATGATGAATCTTCTTTTGCGATGCATGAATCTTTTTCTCGCGATGCATGAATCTTTTCCCGCAATGCATGACTTCTTTCCCGTGATGCATGGATCTTTTTCCCGCGATGCATGAGTCTTCTATTGCAATGCATGAATTCTTTCTCTTGCAATGCGTGAATCTTTTGATGGTGCCTCCCTGGTACCAAACGAAGATAATGCTTCACCGAGCAACATATGTGATCTTCTGGGTGGCGATATCGTCTTAATTGACAGTACAATTAAAATGACCCTTAGAGTAGTGGTATCATCTCTTTTGACAATACGATATGACTGGCTCTCCGGGTAAGAATATTATCATGTCTGATAATATGATGCAGATAAACGTCTTCTAGATATCTTTAGTTGATGGAAAACAATAAAGTTTCTCTCTTCTAGGTTTTCGTTCGTTCCATCTCCGAACATAATTGCATGTTCATTATGGACCTCTCCTTGTTGAGAATTGAATGAAATAATGCTATTCCTATTCCCAAATCTTTGATATAAGAAACATAAATATTTCCTGCATCCATAGAAAAATTATTAAATTTGGGGAGTTCCTCGCCCTTTCAACTTCTCCTTATTTATTGAATGGAGGAATATACTGATCTTGTGGCGAGCTTATAGACCTGCATCCACAGAAAAATCGTTAGTTTAGGAATGAACTGATCTGTGTTGATCTCTTCGGTTGTTTGCTCCTTGTATTGCTATCTCCGATTGATTTTTCTGATCTCCCGCTTCTTGATAGATAAGACAAAACAATTTTATGCAAAAATAATTGAAACATGAAAGAATTTGTTTTAAGGAAAATAGATTTTCAAAAGTAGTGTTTGGGAAAAGGTCATTGCCAAGTGTCATGTCACGTCGAGCTTAATGAATGCCATTGAAACCGATGCCTTGAGATCTATCTGATTACTTGCTGGAAAATATTCAAAGTTGCTCCAAACCTCTGATGAACCTTATTGAAAATTTTGAGGTCATCCTCCAAATTTTTTGTCCCATTTGTAATTCTCAACGTAACTTCAGTTTTGACTTTGTTGGAGAGATCTTCTTGAGAATTTTTGAGTCCCTCTCAATAATTCTGTCCCAGTTTCTATTATAAGGAAAAATAGAGATCTTATGGGAGATATGACCGAGCCGTTGTGGCGCCTACATATCCCGTTGAGGCAGGAATCAGGTCAAACGTAGTTCCCCCTCAAGGATTAACATAAATAGGAAATTTACAAAGAAACCGACCCAGGCCGACACAGGCCGCCTACGTATCTCATTCTTGAGAATTTAGGTCGAACGTAGTTCAAATACAAGGAAAATATTAAAAGGGGATAAAAGAGGTGACTGAGGCCGACATAGGCCGCCTACGTATCTCATTCTTGAGAATTCAGGTCAGACGTAGTTCATTTACAAGGAAACATATTAAGAAGGGATAAAAGGATGACCGAGGCTGACATAGGTCGCCTACGTATCTCATTCTTGAGAATTCAGGTCTAACATAGTTCATTACATAGGGATAGATTCTAGACAAAGTAATCACAAGCAAATAGAACGATTACAAGGCAATAACAGAAATACAAACTGAAGTTTTAGATATAGTATCTCTTGACAACATCTGAGTTGATCGGTTTCGGCCATTCGGTGCCATCCATCTCCGAAAAGACTAAGGCACCTCCGGATAACACTTTGCGAACCATGTAGGGTCCTTGCCAATTTGGTGCAAATTTCCCTTTGTACTCGACTTGATGAGGAAAAATGCATTTGAGAACCAACTGACCAATTTCAAATATCCTGGCTCTTACTTTCTTGTGGAAAACACGGATCATTCTTTGTCGATACAGTTGACAATGACAAACAACAACCATTCTCTTCTCATCAATCAAGGTTAACTGATCGATCGGCTTGCGAACCCATTCAACATCGTTCAATTCAGCTAGTTGGATGATTCTCAATGAAGGTATTTCAACTTCTGCAGGTATAACTGCTTATGTTCCATATACTAGTAAATATGGAGTAGCTCCAACTAATGTTCTGACAGTCGTTCGATAACCCAACAAAGCATATGGCAACATCTCGTGCCAACCGCTGCGATTATCAATCATTTTCCTCAAAATCTTCTTTATGTTCTTGTTGGCAACTTCTACGGCTCCATTCATTTGGGGACGATAAGTGGTTGAATTTCGGTGGGTAATCTTGAATTGTTCGCATATTTCTCTCATCAAATGACTGTTGAGATTCGCTCCATTATCGGTAATGATGGATTCTGGCACTCCAAACCTACATATTAAATTGTTGCGAACAAAATCAGCTACAACCTTCTTAGTCACCGACTTATACGAAACTGCTTCCACACACTTGGTAAAGTAGTCAATGGCAACCAAAATGAATCTGTGTCCGTTAGAGGCGGCTGGCTCTATTGGACCAATGACATACATGCCCCAAGCTACTAAAGGCTAAGGTGAACTCATACTATTAAGTTCGTGAGGTGGGACTCGAATCAAATCTCCATGCACTTGACATTTATGACATTTCTGCACAAACTTGCAACAATCATATTCCATAATCATCCAAAAATAGCCAGCCCGGAGGATCTTCCTCACCAAAGTGAGCCCATTCATGTGAGTACCACAAACTCCGGCGTGTATCTGTTCCAGAATCTTTGTAGCTTCACTAGCATCAACACATCTGAGAAGACCTAAATCTGGAGTCCTCCTATAAAGGATTTCCCCACTTGTAAAGAAATTGAGGGCCATACGACGTATCGACTTCTTCTGGTTGAACATTGCATTCTCAGGATAAGTCCCATCTTCTAAATACTTTTTGATATCGAAATACCAAGGCAAACCATCTGGTTCTGCTTCAACATGTGAACAATGGACATGTTGCTCTTTTACCTCTATATCTACTAGATCAATGTAACTCGTATCTGGAGGTTTAATCATTGATGCGATGGTGGCAAGAGCATCGGCCAACTCATTCTGTGTCCTGGGAGTATGTCTGAACTCAATCTTGCAGAATCTTTTGCACAACTTCTGTATATATTGCACATACGGTGTGATCTTTGGGTTATTCACAGGCCATTCTCCTTGAACTTGGTGAATTAGCAAGTCTGAGTCTCCAATAACTAGAAGTTCATGAACGTTCATGTCGATTGCCATATTTAAACCAAGGATACAAGCTTCGTATTCTGCCATGTTGTTCGTGCAATCAAATATGAGTTTAGCTTCCATAGGATAGTGTTGACCGGATTATGATACTAAGACTGCTCCGATACCTTTCCCTTGGTGATTTGCCGCTCCATCAAAGAACACTCTCCAACCAGGGTATGCTTCAGAAATATTTTCACCCACAAATGCAACCTCTTCATCGGGAAAATAAGTCTTGAGCGGTTCATACTCTTCATCAACTAGATTCTTTGCAAGATGATCATCCAAGGCTTGTGCCTTTATCACCTTCTGGGTCACATACACGATGTCAAACTCACTCAAAAGCATTTGCCATTTGGCCAACTTTCCGGTCGGCATTGCTTTCTGGAAAATATACTTCAATGGGTCCATCCTGGAAATGAGATATGTCGTATAAGAAGACAAATAATGTCTCAACTTCTGCCCAATCCAGGTCAAAGCACAACATGTCCTCTCCAAAAGAGTGTAACGAACCTCATATGGATTGAACTTCTCTCTCAAATAATAAATGGCTCACTCCTTCTTCCCAGTTTCATCATGTTGACCAAGCACACATCCAAATGCGTTATCTGAGACAGACATATATAGCAACAATGGACTCCCTTCTCGCAGAGGAACTAACACCGGTGGATTGGACAAATAATTCTTGATGGCATGAAAAGCAGTTTGACATTTTCCAGTCCATTTGGTCAAGGAATCATTTTTCAACAACTAGAAGATGGGCTCACACACCACGGTAGATTGAGCTATGAACCGGATGATGTAGTTCAGCCTTCCCAGGAAGCTCATCACCTCTTTCTTGGTCTTCGGAAGAGGTAATTCTTGGATCGCCTTGATCTTGGAGGGGTCAAGGTCAATGCCCCTCCAGCTGAGTATAAATCCCAACAACTTGCCATCTGGCACTTCAAAAGCACATTTGGCGGAATTTAACTTCAAATTGTATCGACGCAAGCGATCAACGAATTTTCTCAAGTGAGTCAAATGATCCGAACTCTCATGGGACTTGATTATGACATCGTCTACATACACTTCGATCTCTTTGTGAATCATATCATAAAAGATGGTTATCATGGCCCTCATGTAAGTAGCGCCAGCATTCTTGAGACTAAAAGGCATCACCCGATAATGATATACACCCCAAGGAGTAATGAAAGCTGTCTTCTCTGCATTTTCTTCATCCATCAAGATTTGGTGGTAACCCGCATAACAATCCACAAATGACTGCCTCTCATGCTTAACATAGTTAGCAATGAGAATGTGGATGTTCGGTAATTGAAAATTATCTTTCGGGCTTGCTTTGTTGAGATCTCTATAGTCAATGCAAATCCTGATCTTTCCTGAGGTCTCAGCTTCATCCTCCATGACTGCGTCAACTTCTTCGAACATGCTCGAGATTCCTTCCCACAGACCATTGTCGATGGCGTGCTCCTGCATCGAGAATGACTGGTACAAGTGAGGGATTGGTCTGGCTAGCATCCGATCAACACTCTTGTTCATCAGCTCCACTTCATCAGCATATATGGGGACATACCCCAAACCAAACTTTGTTCCTCTGGCGGGAACTTGAATAGGCTCGACATTTCCTTGGAAATGCTTCCCCAACCCGAAACCTAGTTCGAAACCATTCTGGAGCATGACAGTAGCAATCATCTTGTACACGGCAGACAAGGGAGGTTGTGGATCCAAGTCATCACCGGTGGCATTTACCAGCTCCACCGTGTAAAAATCGCAACCTCGAGAGACCTCATCAACGATGGGTGCATACCCATCGGAATGACTCCCCTCACCATGAATGACCAATTCTTGGTCCTTCCAAAAAAAGTTTATCAGTTGGTAAAGGGTAGATGGTACAACCTCGGCCAAATGGATAAACGGTCTTCCCAGAAGCAGGTTGTAACTAGTGTTGATATCCAACACCTCGAACTCCACGTTAAACTCTGCAGGGCCCATCTGAATTCCCAACTTTACTTCCCCTATCCTGTCTCTCTGCACTCCATCGAAAGCTCTCATATTGACTTGGTTTTGTGGAACCTTTCCCAAGTTGAATTTCAGCTGCTTGAGGGTTGAAAGCGGGCAGATGTTGAGACCGAACCCAACGTCGACCAAATCACGATTTATAACTTTGTCCCGGCATTTGATGGTGACGTGCAAAGCTTTGTTGTGTAGCCTGCCTTCAAAGGGCAGCTCTTCGTCACAAAAACTTATTCGGTGTCCTCGAATGACCTGGTTTATCATGGCTGCAAGATTGTCACTGTTAGTACCCACAGGCAGATAAGTATTATCCAAAGCCCTCATCAGAGACTGCCTATGCAACTGCGAACTTATCAATAAGGCCCACATAGAGATCTGAGCTGGCGTCTTCTCCAAATGCTTCACAATTGAATAATTTTTCAGCTGCATTTTTCTCCAGAACTCCTCGGCCTCGGCTTCACTGATTGACCTTTTTGTTTGGTCCTTCTTCTGCACAACCTGGATCAGCTCTTCTGGCGTGTAGCACCTGCCATCTTGTCATACCCTGGGTAACAACCGTTTCAATCACAAACTTTGGTCGGGCAAGAGTTTCTCATGGCACCAAGGCAACAGCCTTCTCGGGTGTCAGAATCACAAACTCTTTCTTCTGTCTAGTAATCAACGAGGCTACAACCATTTCCAGCTCATCAAGAGCAATTGGAACTATTGCCTTTATCACACACCAATCATCATCTGTCGCTATCATATTGATAGTGATGCCTCCATGATTGGCAAAGGATTACTATTGACATTGGGCGCGACTGTCTGAAGCGAGACCACGTTCTATTCAATAAGGTCTTGGATCTTATGTTTTAGGTTGATATAGTCCTCGGTATCATGTCCAACACTATTGGAGTGATACGCCCACCTCTGATCAGGTCTGTAAATCTTTGAGCTAATGTCAACTGGCTTGGGCCCCACTGGATGAATATATCCTGCCGCAGTTAATCGCTCGAACAACTTTCTCCGACTTTCAATAAGCGGAATGAAAATTCTAGCAGGCTTCTTCTCAAATTTAGGATGGGGGGGGGGATCATAATTGCCTTGTTGTGGAGGAGGCATTCGACGATATTTTGGAGCGTTTGGACGGGGGGCTTCATATCTAGGGTATGAGTTGGTTTGGTAATTTTGGTGTGGAGCTTGGTAGTTCGGGGGGGGGGATATTTTGGTAATGTGGAGATGGGGTTTGGTACATTCGGGGAGGCATTTGGTAATATGTCTGAACGCTGGCACAGTTGGGGGCGGTGTTTCGGTAGGGATGAGGTGGAGTTTGGTAAACCGAAAGGGGAGTTTGGTAGATAGGAGGGGGAGTGTGATGGCTAGGAGGGGGAGTATTTTGATAACTAGGGGGATTGGTATTTTGGTAACTGGGGGGAGGGTATTTTGGTAATCAGCCTGTGCATAATAAGCCAGGTACGAACTCGTTGAGGGTCGAGAATGACCTTGCTATGATAAGGATTTCCTTGGGGTCTTCTTCCCCTCATAAGAGATAGAAGACACATCTTCTCTTTTCTTCTTCAACAAACCCGAGGATCCGGGCAAGGCAGCAACACGGGCAATCTTCCCGGTTCTCAGTCCATCTTCGATAGTCTCACCTACTTTGACTATCTCAGCAAACTTTGCTCCAACGAGTAACATAATTTCATTATAATATTTTGGCTCTTGAACCAACACAAATACTTCGACAATTTCCTTCTCAAAGATAGGAGACCGAACTCTAGCTGCCTCATTTCTCAATTTGTATGCAAATTCTCTGTAACTTTCATTGGATTTCTGCTTCATTTTCTCCAAAGAATAACGATCAGGAATGACTTTTACATTGTAGGCGAATCGTTCGATGAAGTCCTTAGCCAGAGCATTCCAGCTAGACCATTGTCTCGTTTCGTGCGATGTAAACCATTCCAGAGCCTCTCCACTCAGACTTCGGCTAAAAAGCCGATTAATAAAGCTTCATCTCTTCCAACTCCCACGAGCTGGTCACAGTAGGCCCTCAGCTGTGCTAAGGGGTTCCCTATTCCTTCAAAAACGTCAAACTTTGGCACCTTGAACCCTTCCGGGAGGTCCAAATTTTGATGAATGCATAAATCCTCATAACTCAAACCAGCTACTTCAGGAATACATTGTAACTCTTTCATGGCCTTTCAGATATCTTCCTTCATATACAACTTCGTAGCCTCTTCCTTTGACCTCCACTGTAACACCCCGGAAATTTTGTGACTTAAGTTAGAGCCTCACCTTGT